AGCATCAAGTCCTGCAGTGTGAACGTAGCCAATCTGTGGGATTGTTCAGTCAGATAATACGCCGTCATCCTGATTGGTGACATTAAATGTCACGTAGGAGTCAGAATCCAAGGCTGTCGCTATGTTAAGGCTGTTTTTAATGCGTTCTGTTGATTTTTCCTACAAACCTGTCGGATAGCAGGTTTAGGATTGTTAAGGGTCGGATTATCAAGTCACGACTGTAATTAAATATCTATAAATACTACGTGGAACTCATGTGGAACATATTTTTGCTAACAGCTGTCCTCCAGGCTGACTCGCGGTTATAAAATTTTTTGCAAAAATAAATAACCAAAGAAATTAAACTTTAATTTTTATGTCTGTCATTGAGACTGGATCAAACTACACAGAAGACATTTCTGGATTTTGGTCGTTTTGCATCACATTTCAGTTGTTTCACGTCTTTTTGTTTGTTTGTTTGTTTGTTTTGCATCTTGTTTTGATTCTGCACCTCCATGGAAACAGCACGACCACGACTAGAGGGAGAGAGAACTCAGACAGATCGTCTCTGCAGAAGGACACAGTTATAAAGAAGTAGAGTTTCTTTGATTGTTTAGTTTGGAACAAACCTGGAGCAACACGAGCAGCATTTGTCCACAGCTGTTCCCGACATCAGACAGCAGCTCTACATGCTGTGGATATTTCAGCATTTGCAGTTTGAATTAGTTTCTATACTCGTCTCCTCTGTGCTCTGTGGAAACGCCGCCTTCACATCAGCTGAAAATTCTCTGAATTTTTTTGCCATGTGACTGCTGGTCAGAGGCGAGTCGGTCACGGCTTCACAGTTGCACCAAAAAGTCCAGAATTTTTTTGTCTTTTTACAGACTAACGGTTTTATTTTTGGCAAATTTGTGAACGAGACGTCGAATGAAACGCGACAGACGAGCAGTTCAAGGACAAGTCGGAAAGTTTAAATCTTTCTGTTTTTACAGGTTCTGTCTCTGATGAATGACATAATTTCAGTGATTTGATAAACCTACCAGGCCTCTAAAAGCTGCCGATCAGAGGGTTAACACCGTAAATAAGGAATAAAACTAAAAAAAGGATTTACAAATGCTCCACATGAAGTCTTTTTGCCTCTTTTCAAACCCGGACTGATGCAGTTCTGAGCTTCGAACTCTGAATTTCACCAGAATAAACAAAAGAGTTCTTTTGTGGTGATTCATGAAGTGAAACGAAACAATCGGCGTAACGACAATAAATAAATACGACGCTTTCTCACGAGGAAACTGTAGAGATGCTCCTTTTTTCTTGTATATTTTTGTAGGATCATAAATAAATCCAGCCGGTTAATCTCCATAATTAATAATAATATTCGTAATATGGATTATAGTTGGATTAAGTTTTATTTTATGTCCTTTTTGCAGGGTTTTAATCACTAATTTGTACGTTTTTCAGGTAAAATCACACCTTAAATAACTCTGTGGGGACTTAAACTTGTAAATTTACTAATAATAGTCTTTTTTTTTTACTGGAAAGCACTTTGAGGCAGCAGCTATTCTCTTCAATGAGGTGCTGTTTTGTCTTTGGAGTCTTTTTTTTATTGATGGATTGATTGCAAAAAACTGCTGCACAAATGAAGTTACTGTTATGATGATGAATTACTCTGATTCTGGAGATAATCTGAGTAGAAACGTGGCTGATGTCGGAGCTACGGTTGGTGTTTTGCGATGAAAATCTCAGACTGAAGCGATGACGGTCGTTTGAGCTGATCAGGTTGATTGAAGCTGATCAGGTTGATTGAACACACTGAAGCCGAGGTGACGTCAGATGAACTCGGAGGGACGACCTGCTACCTGTGTGGGGCTCTCCTGAGCAGAGAGAGTGTTTTCCTGAAAACACAGCAGAGTGGGGGCTCTTTGTTTCTCCCTCCTCCTCCTCTGCCAGCGTTTAAAGTTGACTTACTGGAACAGCTGCGTGGGCGGTGGGAGGATCCAGGGAAATTACAGCAGCCCGCCGCTTCAGCTGCAGCCTCTGATTCGGTGTTTACACGAGTTTTAGGGGGAAAAACGTTGGCGTCGTCGATTGAACGGAGCGAAGGAGCTGCAACGATTTAAAATAAAACCGACGGAAGACCTCGTCAGATGATTCTTCGTCCGCAGTGACTTTATTTAACGGAGTTTCACCTTCAGACTGTGAACAGTTTGAGGCCTTTGAAGTGCACAGAAATTATCTAAATTATACACCTTATAATTGGTTTTCCATCATTTCTGAGCCGCAGCAGATTAAAAACATCAAACTTCCAGGGATGGAAAACACATCGAGTTTCTGTCAGAACCTGCAGCCAGATCAGTTCTACATCCGTCCAGGTGTCACAGTCTGAACACTAAATCTGATTTTTGTTCATTTTTCTCTTTCACCAACTTTAAGCATTAGTATTATGGGATGTATCACAGCTTCAACAGTATGTCTATGAGTCAAGGTCACAGAAACAATCACTGGCTTCCTGGATGTGTTTCTGTTTCCTGATGATTCACCAGAGAAAACCTAAAGAAGTGCATTCTGGGTAAACTTTCAAGGCTCATGTGTTGATGGTGGTTGTTGGTCAGAACAAGTTCTAGACAATGGAAGGATCATTTTTACTCACATTTGATACCAGGATGCTCTAATGGACGTGATTCCTTATTAAATAAATCTGCTGAACAACAAACAGGTTCAGTGTTTAGATTGTGACACCAGGATGGAAGTAAAACTGACGAAGTTATGAGGTTTAAAGTAAAATAAAAAAGTGTGAAATGTGTACTTTAAGGGCCTGTAACTCTGCGGATGTTCATAGTATGAAGGTCAAACTTTGCACAACCTCATTAAATACACTGAAGTTACTGTAGATAAAGAGTCAGCTGGTTCTGAGGAGGTCAGGGCGCTTTTAATTAATAAATGAGCAATGAAACCGCAGCCAAACTAACATCATATGAACATCATTAGACTGGAATTAGTGGAGATTCGGTTAAACAACATTAAAACTTTCATCAAATTTCTGTTAGCTTTTGGGAAATCTTCCACTGAAAGGGTTTATTGAGAGATTTGTCATTTTATGTTAATCGATAATGAAGTAAACTATAAACAAAAGTCATCAGAATATGCCTCTAATAGACTTTTATTTTGATTTTTTTTGCTTTTTTGTTATGAGCTGATATGAAAAGATTAAATGTGTCTCCGTTTTAAACAACCGCCAAAGTTCTTTCCTGATCAGCTGTAAAAACTGTTTGTTTGTTTGTTTGTTTGTTGTTTATCCAGCGATCTACCCCCCTCTCAACGCCCCCGGCGCCCCGGCCAACATGTTCGGCACCGTCCCCGGATACGAGGGCCTGGCGTCCGGAGGAGGTAAACGCACTCTCAGCTCTTCGCGCGATGTTCTTGTTCACGTTGTTTCTGCGTCGCTGCTCACTCTTGTGTCGCTGCAGGAGGCTTCCTGCCGCCGCCGATGCCCGCGGAGCCCGTAGCTCCGCCCCAACCGGGACCCGAACCCGATGACTGGAGGTATGACGTCACCTGAGCCGCTCCTCCACCTGTGGCGACCGACCAATCACGTGTCGCTCTGCGTCCGTGGAGTTCAGAGAAAAGTCGGGATTTTATTTAGACAGATTCATTTTTTGGGATATTTTATTAAGACTTTTCTGAGACTTTTTAAAGATTATATTTCTATTATTCCAGACACATGTTTAAGCGATTTGATAAATCATAGCAAAAATTTTAATTAAGATTTTTTTTTAATTGTTTAATTAATTTTTTTAATGAGATTTTTCTTTATTTCTTATTTTTCCAAACACCTTATTAAGCTTTCACTGACAGAATTTATTTTTTTTTCAGACATTTGAATTAAGATTTAAAGAAATTATATTAATTTGTAATTTATCATTTCACATATATTTAACATTAAATTAGATTAAATTAGATTAAATTAAATTAAATTAAAGTAAAGTAAATTAACAGAAAATCATTTTTTTAACTGTATTTTTTAGTTTTTGATAAATTATTTGAGGGGAAGTTTCATTAAAACTTCTGTGATTTTTTTCTTTGATCATATTTCTGTTTTGCAGAGATTTTTTTTTTTAGATATACTAATAAATTTTTTTTTGATGTTTCAATGATATTTTTCTGAGATATTTCCAAGATTATAATTCTATTTTTCCAGACATTTTTCTGACACTTTAAGACTTTGCAGAGATTTTCTTTAGCAGTTTACAAACACTTTAAGAAGAGCATCAAGTTTATTAATGAGCTTAAACTCAAACTACTGCTATTGTGTGTGTGTTGCAGTATCCCCTCTCTGTCGGAGGACGTGGCCCGTGATGCGTTCAAGAGCTTCGCGTCGTCCCACTGCTGCTACAGTAAAGCTCCGGCCAACGACGGCGTCATCACCAAGATGGAGCCGTTCAACACCTACAGGGTGACTGATGCTCACAAGCTACCATGCTGTTAGCCGCTTAGACGTAGCTGCTGCTGCAGGCCCCGCCCCCTTCAGGAAGGACAATCTGTGATTGACAGATGAACGAGTGTTTCAGAGCAGGACTTTGTGATTTTAAAACCGCTTGATTCTCGTTCTGCTGTCTGACAACAGAAATGGAAAAGTGTATCGACGAGAACAGCTTTATTGTGAGTTTAGCTGATATTCAATGTGAGCACAGAGAGCAGGAGAGAAGCTACCACGTAGAAACAGTTTAGGTTTAAACTGAAGCTCAACAGGCGACATGAAAACACACCAACACAACCCGTCCTTGTTTATTGGTTTAAATTAAAGGTTCCACAGAGCTCTGATCTGTGAGCAGACCATCGACGCTAACGTTAGCCACATATTGTGCTAACTCAAAGGATTTGGCTGTTGTTATAATTTCATTTAGCAGACACTTTAATCCAAAGCGACAGAGCTGCCATGCAAGGGGCCTTGCTCAAGGACACTTTGAACCGCCAACCTTGCGATTAGAGGACAACCCGCTCTACCACCTAAGCCACAGCTGCGCTTGTTGTGGCTAATGCTAATGCCACAATAGCTGCACAACATGCTAACCCAAAGCATTTTGCTATTGTTGTGGCTAAAGCTAATGTTGCCATCAATAACAACAGTAATCATCCACTGGGTGTTCAGTTCATCAGGTGCTGGCAGTGCATGAAGACTCTTGTGTTCACTCTAACAGCAGAACATTTGGTGAGTTTTACTCGTAGCTCAGACATGTTAGAGTTTAGCAGAAGCAGCTGTTGAAAGTAAATAAACCTGATGGACTGTGATGCAGCTGCTCATTCCGATTGGTTGACCTGGAAGCAGTGAGGGGGCGGGGCTATAGAAAGCTGGACCCCTATTGGTTCTTACAGCTGGAATGTACCAGATCGTTAAAGTTCGGAGGCCACCCAGTTGACGTAAGCCTGTCGGAGCTGCAAAATTCCACATAGCTTTTATTTTACACCTGAGTTGTTAACATCAACAAAACACAATAAAAGCAGATTTCCCCCTTGAGGCATCTTTAATTCCACATTCAGAACAAATCACCTGCCTCCAGTGTGGCGTCAAATAAATAGATGAGCATCAACTGTGTAGTTGTTCTGTCACTCTGCCAAACCGCCTGTACGTTACATGACTGGACTCGTGCACAGAGCTCTAATAAATACCACCACAGGCCTGTCAGCGAGATTTATGGTGGAGAAATATCTGTTACTAAACCACAGTACAAGAAAACAGGCAGCGTGGTGCGGGATGGATTCTGTGAAACAAATGATCTGCCCAAAGTTTATTTACAAGCAGAGTGTACGCGTATTTCTACACCTACAGTTTAACTTCTCAGTTTTTTCCTCCTTTCTTGTGCCTGAGAGATTCAACTTTTTTATTTTTTAAGTATTGGGAGCACTTAAAGCAAAATAAAACACTTGGGTCATAAAATAAATGTAGCGTGGCTTAAAAACATCAGACTGGTAGAATAAAGTGGTTTTAATTTAATATCAGGATTTGAAGCTTAGATTTGATTGATTTCCCCAAAGCGTCACATCAAAGGGATTGTCAGAAAGTTGAAAATCTATTTAGTTTTTTCAGTTTTTGGAGTTTCTGGCTGATAAATGGTGGAGTTTTGGAAATTTTGTAAAAAAAAATTTTAAAAATGCCAGCATGTTTTAATTAAAATAGCACATTTCTGTTTTGTCTTTTATGTTTGCAGCATTTTCCTGTAACTTAACAATAACGAAAAATAAAAACTATAGTTGAACAAGAGACCACGTGTTAAAGTGGAAGTTCATTTACTGCTAATATCTACTATCAGCTGTCTGCAATTCAGCTGAAAAGTCGATTAATTTTTGTCACGTGACTGTTGAGCCCGGCCGAGTCACTAAAGGCTTCACGGTTGCGACAAAGAACACAGAATTTTTTGTTTTTTACAGAATCTGTTTAGACCAAATTATTAATTTTTTATATATTTTTTTTAACTGAGACGTGTAGAACAATAAGATTTTAGGCTTAGATTTGGTTAATTCTACTGACACATGATTGCTCCAATAAATCTGTTTATACAGTTCCTGATCAATAAATGACGTAATTTGGCAGTTTGTTAGAAATATATATTTTTTATAACATGCATTTCAAAGCCAGCCAGTGGGTTTGGGGTTTAATAGAATTAATTCCAGACTCAGAGAAGGACAGAAATCCTGCTTTTTGACTCTGATGTTCCCCCTTTGTGTCGCCCAAATGAATCCTCATCGTGTTGATTCTTATATGATTGAAATCATGATGTTAAACTGAAGCGACTTTATTCCTACAAGGCTGCCATGTGACATTACAGCATGAGCGATGGTTTAAATGTCTGAACTGATGTCTGAAACCAAAAAAAAAAATAGTAATAATAATCAACTTTAATCTGGACTTACGTCGTCGTGTTTCACTTGTGACCGACTCAACAAATGCAGTTTTATTGTAATCAGTCCACCTAACAGCTCTTTATCTGTACTTTTAGTTTCTGCTCTGTAGCTAAAGTATATCTTCTCTTCTGCAGTACCGTCTGGAGACGTTCACCGAGGCCAGATCAACTGATTGGGCCCATAAACCCCATGAAGGTTTGTATATTTGTTCAACCTGATTCCGGGTGTTGCGTGTTGTTGTGGTTTTAAGGTTTTTGATTGACAGCTGGCTGCGGTGTGATTGACAGGTGAGCCGGCTGACTTCTACACTCAGACCGCCCCCCGACCCTGGGAGATCCAGGCCACGCCCCCGAAGCTCTTCGTCAATCACACGGAGGAGATCCGCGTGCCCTACACCTCCTCCGTCAAGGTGATTGGTCGACAATCAGACAGCAGCCTTATTTGTTGCCATGGTGACATCAGTTTAGAGTTTGAATGTTTTGGGAGTCCTTGAGAAAGTTCCAGAAGTGTCAAAGGGAGTTCTGGTGGTTGAGTTGGAGGTCCAAAGGGTGCTGGAACAGACTGACATGGTCCTGGAGGCAGATAACATGAGACAAATGGTCCTTGAAGTGTTTCCATAAGGTATTGAAAAGTTCTTGGGAGATAACGGTATTTGAAGGGCCTCAAGATGATTAAAATTGTCATTGGGTTGGTTCCAAAGGGCACTGAAAGCCTCCCACTGGTCCTTGAACTTGTCTCAGAAGTATTACGTGGTCCTTGAAATGTTTACTTTTCTCCATTTAGAGATCTCAGTGGTCCTGGAGGGGTTCCAAAGGTTCTTGAAAGTGTTTTACAGGCTCTGAAAGATGTTTCAATGTTTGTTTGTTTTTAAAGATTCTTGGTCTTCTCAAGGAGGCACCATGAAGATGTTCAAAAGGTTCACTTTGTTCCATGGGTTCATGAGGTGGTTTGCAACGTCCCTAGAGACATTCCAAGGGTCATTGAAGAGGTTTAAGAGTTGAGAGGGTTTAGATGATAGTTGAGGTGGTTAGTTATATATGCCACCAAAAACGTTGAGGAATTCTTGATATTTAATTGGGAACATGGTCCCTGACAAGGTTGTAGGTGTCCTGGAAGATGTCATAGTGGTTCTTTGGGAGGTTCCATGGGTACCTTAGAGGTCTTTGGGGTTCCAGATATCTCAAAGGCGGTCCAGGGTTTCTTGAGTCCTTTAGATTTGTGAGGGACCCTTTGAAGGTTTAAATGATCCTACAGGACATTCCTCGAAGATGTTCCAAATGTCTTTTAAGTTGTCCTAGTAAATTCTGCAGAACTTATTGAAGATGTTCGAGGCCCAAAATGTCCCTGTTTCATGGAGGAAGGTGTCATGATCCTTGTGAATGTTCAGTGAGGCCTTGTAGAGCTTCTAGGGGTCCAGAGGTTCTTGAAAAGGATTCGGAAGTCCATTGCATTTTCTTCTGCGTATCCAGAATCAGATCAGGGGTGGCAGCAGTCTAAACAAGTCATTCCAGACATCCCTCAATATTGCCAACCTCGTTTTTGGAAATCCTGAGATGTTCCCAGGCCAGATGAGATATGTAGTCCCTCCAGATAGTCCTGGATCTGTCTCTGGGTCTCCTCCCAGCTTTTCACCCAGAAGATTCTGTGTCACAAGAATTTTGCACCATTTAGCAAGCTCATGCTGTAGGCCATGATGTCTGTGCCACTAATAGAAATGAGGTATCTTTGCTGTTAAGGTGTTTGTGATAAACTCGGAGCTTCATGCTTGGAAGGATGAGGTGACGCAGTCTTACGGAAGTTTTGAAAGCTCCGCCTATTTTGCTTGATCTTAAGAGTCTATTGAAGAGTTTCCAGATGCTTATAAGGTCGTCGATGGTTCCTGTATCATGTCCCAGCGGTCCTTGAAAACCTTCCTTGAGGTCCCTGGGGATGGTACCTGGGTTGGGGGTTAGTTTCTGCCCCAAGGGAAGGAGTTTGGAAAAGCTTCCAGAAGTCCAAGAGGTTCTTGAAGAGGTCCTGTGTCTCAGGAGCTTGCTGAGGAGGTTCAAGTTGTGTTTTAAGAGGCTCTGAAGGCCCACGAAGGACAAGTTAGTGTTTATGAGGGAGTTTCAACAGCCCACGAGCCTTCATCGGCCCCTGGGGTTAACGTATAATGGCACACAGAATGCAGCACCGGCATGAGGCATCTTCGTTGCTGAGGTTTTTGCAACAACCTGGGAGCTTCCTGCTTGAAAAGACGAGGTAACGTTGTCCAGCTAGAAGTTCACCAGGGTCTGGTCAGGATTTTTGTTAACGTTTCTGAGGTTTAGACTGAGTCGGCCGTGAGCACAGGGCGTGGCATCTGCACTGTTGCCATGGTTACCTGCTGTTTAATTTAGCTCGAGCTCTGCCGGGAGGTTAAAATGTGCTGATTGAGTTTTCATCGCACTGCTCACAGCCAATTAGGGAGCAGGATTCTGGATGTCCAACATACGCTGATGCTATTTTTAACTTTACTGTGTGTGCATGTGTGTGTGTGTGTTTGTGTGTGTGTGTGTGTTTATGTGCATGTGTGTGTGTTTATATGCAGGACTGCCACACCTGCCACGCCACCGGGACGAAGCCGTGTGAGGAGTGCCAGGGAAATGGATACGTAAGCAGACTGTCAATCAGTCACTAATAATAACATCCATCATAGCTGTTGACAGGAAAAGCTTTAAAAAAAAAAAAAAAACTTGATCAAGACGTCCTTAAAGAACTGAATCTGCACTGAGTTGTTAAACACGTGAAATCAGTCAGATTGGATGTGAAGGGTTTAACCTTTGTTTGGATTGTGTGTCTGCAGAAGCCCTGCTGGGTGTGCAACGGCTCCGGGTCGAACAACGACGGGAGCTGCGATCGCTGCAGTGGTTCTGGCAAAGACAGGTAAGAGGCCCGGTTTGACGGGCACTGACGTCTGCTCACATCCTCCTGAGATGTTCCCCTTTTGGAGGTTTTTCTTATTCAAATCGAAAGCTGGAGTGAAACCGAACCTCCTGGTGTGGCCACAGAAACCATGAAACCTGATTCAAAGTCCTGCAGGGCGTTGACAGAAGCTCTCGTCTCAGAACGATTTGTCCTGGTTTTGATTTTATTTAGGACATAATTCACGCTGATGTGAAATATAATTACCCTCCTGCCTGTGTGGTAATCTGGATATCGAACACCGCCTCCTGTGCACTTATTAACTTAAACACTGTGCTTTTGGAGTTGCTTTTTATATTTTTAGTCAAGATTCAGGATGAGGACATTACTTCTTCATTTCAGATGTTGTCGTGTGTTGCACTCAGACACACGACACACGATGACTTTACTCCATATTATCCATAATTTAACAAAACGGGGAACATTTGTACCATAATCGAGTGGTGAAATACAATTATTTACCATTTTTCAGTGTTTAATACATTTTGTTCCTTTTGAATAACAGCAAATATTTTTAAAATAGTAATATTTTGGACGATTTAAATGCATTTTTTTTTAAATCAATACTTTTTTCTGTTATTTTATTTGTCATTTAAGCAAATAAAGAAAAAAAGCTCTAAAATAACAGATCCCGTTTTTCATTAAACAAGATGCATGTTGTCTCTTTCAAATGGAGGCGAATTTCTGTAAAATAATGAGGTTTTTGCTGATTTAAATTCAGTTAAATGATTTAATTTCATAGTCAAATGCTGTAAAAGAACATTTAAAAACAAAATAAAAACAGACTTAAACTGTAAGTTATGTCACTTTTTAACTGTTTTAAAAATCTTCTAAGAATAATGTTAATTTATAGATACTTGCCCTTATTTTAGCTTTTTTTTTTTTTTTTTTTTCCGTTCCGTTTTTTTCCCGTTTAATTTTTTTTTTTTTCTGCAACAATTCCTGCCAGATTTTCACCGCCCTTTTTTTGCAGATTGTTTTTTGCAGTACGCTCATATTAACAGACCACGCTCTCTAATTACGATAGAATTAAACTCCATAGTCAGCTACCGTCTGCTTTACCACGCAACCGTAGCTCAGCATGAACATTTCTAAGTTATAATTTTACGAAACTGATGTCTGAATCGATGACGGTGAGTCTGCGAGGAGTGAAATCAGCCAATCAACTGATGGAGGATTTATCAAATGTTGTGCAGCATTCAGAGTTAAAGGACGAGCAGCAGCGTGTCGCTTTAAACTACAGCTTGGACCAGACCTCTGAAGAATGTCAGACATGTGTGTCACATGTCTGACCCGTGTGTGTGTGTGCATGTGTGTGTGTGCACGTGTGTGTGTGTGTGTGTGTGTGTGTGTGTGTGTGTGTGTGTGTGTGTGTTTAGGTGCACGAAGTGCGATGGCCGAGGAACGATGGACTGCGAGACCTGCAAAGGGAAGCGACAACTGCTGACCTACATCCAGCTCAAAGTGGAGTGGTGAGTACTGACACCGGCCCTCAGAGGGGACTCAGTGGACCTCGGCTCGGCTCGGTCCTTCAAAGTTCAGATGGTGCTTAAGGATATTTTAGAAGCAATGAAGGGCATGCGGGGGTCTCTGAGGGGTTCACAGAGGTGTTTGTGGTCCTGGAAGATGCTCCAGGTTCTCCAGGGGTCATAGGGAGCTCCAGGGGTCCTTGATCCTTGGAGTCACTGGGGAGGCTCAAATGATCCTTGAGGAAGTTTTATAGACTTTGAAAAGTTGTGGAAATTTACCATGAAGATGCTGCAGTGGTTACTGAGGAGAACAGAACTGAACAACGTTTAAACACTGGATATTTTAATATTCACACTTGTATTTGTTTCCATACTTGTCTCCTATCTGCTGGTTCAACTGAGTCCAGCTGGAAAGTTCTTGATTTTTTTTTGTAATGTCACCGTTGGCCACTGCTGAGTCATTGATGGTTTCACAGCTGCACCAAGGAGCTCAGAAGTTTTTTATTATTTACAGAATTTGGTTCATGCAAACGGTTTATTTTTGGGAAAATCTTGAATCAGACACTTAGAATAAAGTTATTATGATGAAATAAAACGATTTTGAGATTACGAGGACGCCTCAGTGGTCCTTGAGGAAGCTCCAGGAGTAATAAAAGGGTTCTAAAGGCCCCTCAGAAAGGCTCCAGTGGTCCTTGAGGAGGGTCTGTGGACCTTGAAGTGCTTCCTCATGGAGTCCTTGAAGGGTTTCTAGGATCCGCTGGGGAGGCTCAAAATATCCTTGAGGAAATTTGCAGACACCTTGAAGGTGTTGCAGTGGTCCGTGAGGAAGTTTTATCAAACCTTGAAAAAGTTCTAAGCATGCAGTGGACCTTGAGGGTCTTTGAGAGGGTCCCAAAGAACCAGCAGCAGGTTTCACGGTCCTGGACAAAGTATTCAACAGTCTTTGGTGTAGATTTAAAGAGTCTTGAAGGGTTTCCATTGGTCTTTCAGGGGATCTGAAGGTCCTTGAAGATGTTCCAGTTGTCTTTGAGGTTTTAAGGGTTCAAATAGTCACTGAAGATGCACCAATGGTCCTTTAGGGATTTCAAGGGTTCAAATGGTCCTTGAAGATGCTCCTTGAGTGACTGCAAATCCAACAGTGTTACTCACTGAGGTTGTTCGGGGCCTTGAGGAGGTTTGTGGGGTCCTTGAGTGGTTCCCTGGTTATTGAAGGATGTTGCAGGAGGGATTTCTAAGGGTCCTGGAGAAGGCTCAGAAGTTTCCAGGGGTCCTTGACCGTGTGATACTCGAACCAGTATTACTAAACTAGATACTGCCACTGTGTGTCTGTGTGTGTGTGTGTGTGTGTGTGTGTGTGTGTGGGTGTGTGTGTGTGTGTGTGTGTGCGTGTGTGTGTGGGTGATGCTCTGGCGCCCCCCGTTGGACAAAGACAGAATTACAGAATGTAAATTTAAAGTTTTTCAATTGTTTAAAGTTTAAATAATGATTTAAAAAAATGCATATACATGTAATGGCCACTTTATTAGGTACATCTGATGAACTTTAATGCTTCTTCCATAACTTCTACGTTTATGTGCTTCACATTTTGTGCCATGAAGGTGATCATTCTACTTTATATTTATCATTGAGCTCACAGGGTGGTGGCTGTGCATTGTACTGGATTGTATTTAAAGGTGTTCTTTATAAACATCAACATACATGAGCAGGGCAATAAATAAACTTTAAAATGTAATGTGGTCCTTAGTAATAAACATAAAGTGGGATTATGTCCTTTCTGACGATGAAAAGTGAAAATGTAGAAGCTTCTCGAAATTAGACGTTAAGGCAGAGCTGTCGTGTTAGATTGTGTTAAAGTTTACTGGAGTGTGTATTATTTACACACACACACACACATATATATATATACACATGTGCTGCATGTAAACGCTGTGAATCTGTGCATTTGTGTTCAGGACCAACAACGTGGCCGACCATGTGGTCGAGCAGAACTCTGGCCTGAAGGTCGATGATCTGCGCTCAGTCAGCGGGAAGGAGCTGTTCAAGAACAGCCAGTACCAGGTGCACAAAACAAACACACACACACACACACACGTCACTGCTCATTTTCCCTGAACATTAACCCTCCAAAGTAAAGAAATCATAATTATTTTATTAAAATTAAAATATCTGGAATCAGCATGTTCAACATCGAGTGTCCACAGGTGTTACCAACACTGGAACACAACCAATGGGCTGTGCATATGTTTATATACATGCTGTATTTAACTGTTTACATTTTTAATTAGGTCCTATAGTAGTTTTCTCTCTGCTCTGTGTGAACACTGAGTGCCGTTCAGCCGGAAAGTCCCTGAATTTTTGCCACCTGACTGTCGGTCAGAGCTGAGTCACCAAAGCCTTCCCGGTTTTGTCGAGGATTCCAGAATTTTTTGTTTTTTACAGAATCTGGCTCAAGTGAAGAGTTACATTTTTGGCAATTTTTTAACTGATGCGTGTAGAAAAAAGTGATTTTAATGAAATCTCCCAATGTTAAACAGACGAGTAGTTCAAGGACTGTCTGAAAAGTAGTAATTCAAAGATAATCTTGTTTTTAGTCTGTGGTTCTGGTAAAGGATGTTGTACAGGGTTGTTATATTTTGTGTTTATAAGTTTAAAGGCGACATCAGGATCAGCTCACCTGCACAGGTGTAGTGGAGGTAACGTCTGTCCTCCAGGGGGCAGCAGAGAGGCTGTTATAGGGTAAATAAAAGGTGTTGTTTGTGATGTTGTCAGTCCTGTGTGTTGAACTCTCCGCTGTCTCCTCTCAGCTCTACCCGCTGCTCGGATTCCCGAACCCGGCCATCTCCGAGGCGTCTGAGCGGCTCATCAGGGAGCACCTGGCCCAGTTCGCCCAGAGCTCCAGGATCCTGCAGCAGGTAGGCCGACGAGAACAAAAGAGTCTGGAGGGAGGAGACGCTGAGAGAAAACAACTTCCTTCATAGTTTCTGTTGAAATACTTTCATACCATCTATGAAGTGTGGAGGCGTCCAGCAGGGGGCGCTCATCTGCTACACAACAAATAACTAAAGAATTCAGTCGTTGCATCGTGTCAGATTTTGCTCATTTTTTTGTCATTTAGGACACAAAACTATATTTTGTGAAACATTTCTGACAGAATTTTGAGGATTTCCTGTTTTCAGACGTGAGGATTTTTCTATTTTTACCCTCAAACAACACCTGGGAGTCCGTTTAAGGGTTCAGTATCTCCAGATTTAAAACTTCCACAGTCGTGACGTTCGGTGAGAACATGGACGGAATAGTTTCCAACAGATCCATGAAGTTTAACGGTGCAGCGGCTGGTGTCATGGGCCCAGAAAGTTCCTGTGAGTGGAACCGTATTTTCTACTAAAACACAGCCTCAGGTCGAAATGTCACCAACTTTAAAGGAACATCAGTAGAAGTGAATGTGTGGAACATATGACAAGACAGGGTTCCACTTTTTAAAATATTTTTAACAAAATGATGACGTCCACTCACTCACTAACCACAAACACTGGTGTGTATATGGCTCCACTACTACATGTGGTTCTATGTGTGTCGGCCGTTTGTGTTGCTTTAAACATTTCGTGTCTCGTTTTTGACTTTTCTGTGTCATTTAAATTCTCTTTTGGACAGTTTTGTGTCCTTTCTTTTGTTTTGTGTCTCCTTTTGTTTGTCTTGTTTCATTTTTTTCCTGTTTTGACCAAGTGGTGATGTGGCAGGACCACAAAAAATGCTTTATTTTATTTCTGTAATTTTTTTGTCTAATTTTTTATATTTTGTGTTTTGTTTTGTGTCTCGTTTGGGTCATTTCATGTCTCTTTGGGATGGTTTTAGTTTTGTCTCATTGTTTCTACTTGTGCATTTCTTGTTTCTGGAGTTCTCGGTTTTTTTTTTTGTTATGTGGATTCGTTGGTAGGAGACAAAATTATGATTATTATTAAAACTATATGTGCAAAGTTGAACAAAATATGAGGTTTGAAGCTCTACTGATGCTAGAGCCTCAAAAGTTGGTGAATGTCGACCAAAGTCTGTATTTTAGTAGAAATATGGATCCATCTTTATAAAGATGAAATGATCAGGGGAACAAATGCCACCCTCATTTGAAAACTGTGCACTTTTTTCCCCGTTTTCAAGGACCAATAATCCAAAACGTGGCCTCTGCTGGATCCATTCAATCATTTCAGTCTTCTGGAAGCTATTCTGTCTGCGTCTTTACCAAACTTCACAGCTGTAGGAGATTTATTTCAGGAGATACTGAACCATTGAAACGGAAAAAACATCCCAGGGATCAAAACATATGAAATTCTAAAAATCAGTTTTGGGTCCCAAAGAGCAAATAAATAAACACTGAACATAATCTGACTCAGACTGACCCGATAATACATTAATACGATACAAATAATGATGAACTCGGCTACACGAAGCGAGGCTAACGTTTGCTAAACCTCCCCTTTGCCCCCCAGAGGCAGACGGTGGAGCTGATCCCCATCTCCAAGGTCAACTACAAGTGGAAAGGCGACACTCACGTCTACTACGTTTACGGCAACGAGAACCAAGTCAGCGCCGACAACTACCCGGCGACCTGCTGCTGCGTCATCCAGTAGAAGCTAACACCCAATACGTCCTCATCCTCCTTCTCCAGACCAATATTTCCAAATATATCCATCAGATCGTAGCTGCTCGAGCAGCTCAGACGTGTTAATCCGATGTTTCCTGTCATTTAAACCAGCGTTTCGCTGCAGCCTCCTTTTAATCAATCACATATACTGAAAATATAGCGCTGTTTTCCTTAAAGCAAACACAACAAAGTGCCCGTAAAAACACAGCAGCCTTCTCCTGAAGTTTGTTCTGCGTTTCCAGCAGAACTATTCAGTGCATCAGTTCTACCTCCTGATAACTGGCTGTGATGCTTCAGCAGGCGGCGCCACCAGGAGGACATAACGGACTTCAGCTGCAGCAACTATTTTACCTGTTTGTGGTTCAACCTCTGAACCCCAACACCCGCCAGCATGTTCATACGGCATGTAATCTTTAAAAATAAATTACCAAAGCTACAACATTTATCAGTAAGAAGCTGTGAAAACACAAAGATGTTGAACTGTGACGAGTTTTTCCATCAGACACAACAAAATAGAGTAATATTTAATCACTTTGATCTCATTTAGAAATTCGCCAAAAATAAACCGTTTGCTCCAACCAGATTCTGAAAAAAACAAAATATTTTGACTTCTTGTACGCAACTGTGAAGCCATCAGTGAGTCAGCCACGGCCAACGGTCACGTGACAAAAATTCATAGAGTTTTCGGCTGAACTGCAGGAAGTGTTTCCACAGAGCAGAGAGGAAACAAGTCTGGGAGCTAATTAATGATATAAATAAGCTAATATCTATAGGATGTAGAGCCAATATTATTTTTATCAGTGTTGCTAACACCTGTGGACACTTGGAAAAATTATGGATTTATTGTTTTAATTTTTACATTTTTTTCGTAAAATTAAAAAATGAGGGTTTTTAATGATTTGAGGCGTTTTAACTGCACCGGAGACACTCCTGACGTCTCTCTCCTGCTTCACTGTGTTTCCATAAAGCTGCAGGACTTTATATTTGTTGAAAAATGTGACAGGAGCAAATAAAAAGCAGCTGCTCGTTGGGGTTCAGAGGGTTAAACCAGTTTGCTGCAGATCTCCGTTATGGCCTCGGTGCCGACGCCTGCTCTTCCTACCAAAGGTTTTATTTCCAGTTACAAACCAGTTTACTGCAAACATGTACCAGTACGTGCCACGTTAACGTCCTCAGTGTTACACACAAACCTCATATATCTGACATGTTGCCGTTTGGAGAACAGAGACGCTGGTTTTCTTCTGACATCTGAGCTCACTTTTCACCCACAGCTTTGAAGCGATGAGCGAGAGCCGGAGGACGTGAGTCCGTTTATGTAGAAACAGCAGAATCCGGTTCATCTGGCTTCTGTTGCTTTGCTTTCCTGTGGTTTGGTGTTGAAACATGAAGGTAGAAACCACTTCAGAGTTCAGCCTGTGGTGGTGGGAGGGTTTATTAGGACAGTTTAGGTTAAGTCCCATCAGACCAACTCTCAGCTTCTTTGTGTTTTTGTTTTTTTCTGCACTGTGCAGAATCATGTCCGTGCTGCCTTTTCTTTCTCAGGACTGCAGATCATTTAACTCAATGGAAAGGTATTAAACAGGAGGAGGAGGAAGCCCTCAAAGGTCACCTGGGTTCACCCCCGTCTGCTAACTGTACGTTTGTGAAGCTTAACTGCAACACAAAGCTCATAAAAGACCTTCTGGACGCTGCAGCTCAGCGCCGCTTATATTAGTCAGTAAGTTTCCCACAATTATCAGATTTAATTTAATTCAATGGTGACTCCAATGACACACAATCAATTTTGCAGCAATGAATTCGCAATTTAAAGTGCAATTTTTGTGTTTACGGGTTAGTAAAGTGGTTCCCAAAGGAGAGCTATGGACCCCGGGGAGGTCAAAAAACGATCCCCAGAAATTATATATCTTTAAAAAATCAGAGAAAGTATATTTTATCCATTATTATGACAAAATATTAAAAAAAACAGAGTCTGCTGCAGATTACTTTGACCGATATACTCTGACACGAGTCTAAACTACACAACAGAAGTGTGATATCACTGAAATGTCCGTTAATTCTGACTTGTATCGCCTCCAAAACCTGCAGTAAGTTAAACAGCAGCATTTTTCTTCTTATGAACAATCAGAAAGAAATACTTTACAAAGACGATATTGAAAATGTCCACTCATAACATCAGCCTCTCATCATTTTTCAAAATGACTCACAATAGGTTAATATGTGTCCAAAACACCCTCAAGATGTGTCTATAGTTAGTTGGAAATTGCCCAATGGTGTCCAAAATGACTCAAAACTCATCCAAATGACTAAATTATTTTTAAAATTGGCTAAAAAATGATCCAAGATCATTTAAAAAATCCAAAATGGCTTAAAATGGCTTAAAATTTGTCCACGATGACTTAAAGTCCGTCCAAACTCGTGCAACGTGACTTAAAACGGCCAAAGTAAGTCCAAAACGATTCAAAATTCATCCAAAGTGACTCAAGTAATTCCAGATTTGTCAAAATTACTCAATATTGATGAAAAACAAGTTAAAAAAATGTCCAAAATAACTTGAAATGTGACAAAAAACCGACTTAAAATGAAGACACGAAGTCAAAATATCAGATTTTCATTCGATGTCAGAGGCTTAGAGGTAATCCGATTACTCTAAGGCAGGGGTCTCGAACTCCGGTCCTCGAGGGCCGCAATCCTGCAAGTTTTAGATGTTTCCCTTCTTCCAACACACCTGATTTAAATGATCAGGATCGTTATCAGGCTTCTGCAGAGCTTGATGATGAGCTGATCATTTGAATCAGGTGTGTTGGAAGAGGAAACATCTAAAACATGCAGGATTGTGGCCCTCGAGGACCGGAGTTCGAGACCCCTGCTCTAAGGTGATGCAAATTTTGAGTTATTTGAGATTTAAGCGCTATTACACGTCACTCCTGTTGTGTGCTGTGTGTTCTATAAAGTGTTGTTCTGGTTGTTGGGTTGTGGTTTCTGTTTTGTTTGTTTGTTTAAATCCGTCTGTTACAGCTTCAGTCGATGCTGAATGAAATAGTTCCCCGTAATTATCAGTACAGAAACGTTTCTCACTGTATTCATACCTATTTTATTTTATCAGCAAAGCATTTAAACCGTTTTCCTGAATGTTTCGTAGTGCGTTCACGTTCAGTGCTCCCTGTCCTGTATGAAGTCCGTCAAAGCTTTAACTCTCACAGTCTGGGCTGAAGGAAAACACAGGAAGGAAGGAAAAGGTGGCGGAACAGCAGATTCACAGAGCTGGAGTCATGAAAAGCCGTTTCACGCTGAAGCTAAAGGGGTTTAGAGATTAAAAGCAGCTGAGGTTTGGGTTTAAGTTAAAGGGCTAGTTCAGTGTTTTATTTAGTCGAGCGTCTTAACAGCTGAGTTCAAGCTCAACAAATCCAGGCTTTCTTTGAGTTAGATTTAAAAACAGTAAAAAAAAAACAAAAAAACGTATAATTTCAGGTTCAATCATAAAAGAAAAATCGTAAAAGAACAAATTAGTATTTGTAAATTAAACTGATTTTTTTATTTTTTTTGTAATTTTATGGTCAAATTTTGTTCAAGAATAAATTAGAGTTATAAAAATACAGATTTAAATGTGGATATTATTTGCTGTTTTCGGCTTCTTTAATATAAATTAATCCTTTATTATCTGTAATTTAACAAAACAGGGAAAATCTGTAAAAATCATAATCTCTGATTTAGGTTTTGTTGATCCAGCTAACTCAAAGAAAGCCTGGATAACGTTCTTCACAGCTCTTCTGTTTGTCTTCTATTTCATGAATAAATAAATAAATAAACAAACACGCCACCTGTCGTCTCACCTGCCTTCCTGCAGTTCAGCAGCCCTCCTGTAGAGGGCGACCAGTGCCTCTGCTGCCCCCTGCTGGCTGTTTAATCTGTGACACTCAGGACAAAGCCACTTCATTTTTTAAAAAGTTTTTACTCCGAATGTTTAACCAACAGTGCATGTTTTTTTTTTTATTATCATTTCAGTGTATTTGCTAAATATTCTGTCCATTTCTGCATTACATAGAACATTTTTACAGTTAGCTGCTGAACCTTTTTATCCTAAATATCATCATATTTGCTCTTATTTCTGTATCAGTGTAACTCAGATGTCAGCGAACACAACGTGATTGTCGGCGTTCAACACGTCGCTGTGGAATGTGATGAGCTTCTAGCTGCAGCACTGCGGCTAACCCACATGTGTGCTACTAACCTAACGGACCTGATGATGCTGTTACGCTGTAATATCCTGATGCTGCCGTAGATCATTAATCGTATGTTACCGTTCACACTGAATAATAAACTCTGTGACTCAGCTGCGTCTGTCTGCTTCTCTTTATTATTATTATTATTTAAAGTCACACAAATTTGATTTACAAGTTGAATCAATAAGCAGATCATTATTCAGTATGAGGTTTTGATCCGGGGAGAAAATTAATTCAACCCTGTCAAAATTACACAATTTATCAGCCGGGAACAACAAAACCAGACTAATCTAATTTTAAACTTTCCGATGGGCCTTAAACTGCTCACCTGTGATGTTAAAAATGCGCTAATTCAACCAAATTGCTTTATTCTACATGTCTAAATTAAAAAAATCACCAACAATAAACTATTTGCTTTAACCAGATTCTATAAAAAAGTAAAAT